AGTGAGTTAGAAAGGTAGGAGATGGTCCAAAAGTATAATACATGGAACAGAACAGGATACAAAACTAAGATGAGGGAATGAGAGAGGAACCTAAAGAAGCACTCACTCCTAGGATCATGCAATTGCAGAGTTGGTCCTTACATGACCCTGAAAGTGAGTGCCTCCTTAAATTTTACACCCTGAGAGCCTCATTTATACCACCTGGCTCACCCTAGTCCCATCCTTGACTGAGAATATGAAAAAGTTGTAAATAATGGACTGAATTTCAAAGAATATAGTGGAAGGATTGAAGGAATTAGGGAGAAATGAAAAAAAGAAGGCAAAATAAGGTATTTACAAAGCCTTATGGAGATCAGGATACTAAAAAATGAGCATGACCTGAGAGTTTGGGGTTCTTTGGTTACTGTTAAAAAAAAAACACAGGAATAAAGAGCATAATAAGATTAATCCTAATGGATTCAAGGTTGGCAATGTTATTAGTGTTGCTGGATAAGGAGGAGTGGATTTCTCAGGCCAATATGAACCTGTTCTGTTTTCATCAATGAGTTGTATCTTCATTCTACCATCTTGCAAAGTAGCTCTTTTGAGAATACAACATGAACAAATTTAGATTTTTTTCTTGTCCTTAATGGACAGGTATATAGATAACATTTTGTAAATATTACTTTGAGATGTAATTTAACATATTTATCCTTTTTAGAATGGACAACAAATTGTGGGAGAAAAAGCTTTAGAATATTTAGCTCAATATTCAGAAGACCCAGAACAAATTTTTACAGCTTTAAAGTAAGTAATCCATATCCTATGGTTCGGAAAGGATTTCCTCTGTTAATCTTACTCTTGGTCTATAAACTTTGCTGAAATAGTGCTGATGGGGTCAGGCTGTGTCAGTGCCTACTATACAGCTGTTTTGTATTTTAAATTGTTTCCAGCTTTATCTATATATATAAAAGCCTAAGCAACTGAATGACTGAACAACCGAATGACCAGTCGACCGGTAGCTATGATGCGCACTGACCACCAGGGGGTAGATGCTCAATGCAGGAGCTGCCCCCTGGTGGTCAGTGTGCTCCCACAGCCAACTTCCCATGGCCAGCCAACCTCCCATGGTCTCTCCCTCCTGCTGGCCGCCCCCAATTGGCCCCAATCAGGACTGACAAGATGGTCCCTATTGCCGGGCAGGCCGAGGGACCCCACCCATGCTTGAATTCGTGCACTGGGCCTCTAGTTGAGATATAATTGACAAATAACAATGTGTAAGTTTAAAGTATGCAACCTTATGATTTGATACATGTGTATATTGTGAAATGGTTAGCACAATAAGGTTAGTTAACACATCCATCCCCTCAGAAAACTGCAATTTTTTTGTGTGCGTGGTGAGAACATTTAAGATTTACTCTTTTGGCAACTTTCAAATATATCATACATTATTGTTAACTATAGTCACTGTGCTGTACATTAGTTCCCTAGATCTTATTCATCCTATAAGTGGAAGTTTGTAGCCTTTGACCAACATCTCCCCATTTCCCTCCTCAGCCCCTGGCAACAACCATTATACTCAGTTTTTATTTATTTGGTGCTTTTTTTCACATCCCTCATGTAAGTGTGATAATACAGTATTTGTCTTTCTCTGCCTGACTAATTTTACTTAGCATAATGTCCATCCATATTGTTTAAAAAGTCATGATTTTTTTCTTTAATATGGCTGAATGATAGTCCATTGTGAAATGTGTGTCTCTGTGTGTGCATACCATTTTGCTTTATCATTCATGCAGACACTTAGATTGTTTTCATATCTTGACTATTGTGAATAATGCTGTAGTGAACATGGGAGTGCAGATATTTCTTTGAGGTAGCGATTTTCTTTCCTTTGGGTATATACCCAGAAGTGGGGTTTCTGGATCACATGTTAGTTATATTTTTTATTTTTGAGGAACCTCTTTAACTGTTTTTCCATAGTGGCTTTACCAATTTATAATCCCACTAACAGTATACAAGGGTTCCCTTTTCTCCACATCCCCACAAACACGTTATCTATTGTCTTTTTTATGATTGCCAGTGTAATAGGTTTGAGGTGATATCTCATTGTGGTTTTGATTTGCATTTCTCTGATTATTAGTGATGTTGAGCATCTTTTCACGTAACTGTTGGTCATCTGTATGTCTTCTTTGGAAAAATATTCAGGTCCTTTGCCCACTTTCAAAACAGATTGGTTGGGTTTTTTGTTTGTTTTGGTATTGAGTCAAATGAGTTTCTTATATATTTTGAATTTTAACTCCTTATCAGATATACTAGAGGCCCGGTGCATGAAATTCATGCACAAAGGGGTTGCGACCCACAGGTTGAGAACCACTGGCTTAGAGGATGTCCTACTGCAGGTTTAGGCCCGATCCCAGAGGGATCGGGCCTAAACCTGCAGTCCAACATCCCTCTCACAATCCGGGACCCTTGGCTTCTAACCGCTTGCCTGCCTGCCTGCCTGATTGCCCCTAACGCTTCTGCCTGCCAGCCTGATCACCCCCTAACCACTCCCCTGCCAGCCTGATTGACACCTAACTGCTCCCCTGCCGGCCCGGTTGCCCCTAACTGCCCTCCCCTGCAGGCCTGGTCCCCACCAACTGCCCTCCCCTGCCGGCCTGGTCACCTCTAACTGCCCTTCCTTGCTGGCCTGGTTGCCCCTAACTGCTATCCCCTGCAAGCCTGGTCCCCCCAACTGCCCTACCTCCCGTGCAGGACCGGTCACCCCCAACTGCCCTCCCCTGCCAGCCCAGTCGCCCCAACTGCCCTCTCCTGCTGGTCTGGTCTCCCCCAACTGGCCTAACTGCTCCCCTGCTGGCCTGATCGCCCCCAACTGCCCTCCCCTGCCAGCCTGGTCCCCCCCAACTGCCCTCCCCTGCCAGCCTGGTCCCCCCCAACTGCCCTCCCCTGCCAGCCTGGTCCCCCCCAACTGCCCTCCCCTGCCAGCCTGGTCCCCCCCAACTGCCCTCCCCTGCCAGCCTGGTCCCCCCCAACTGCCCTCCCCTGCCAGCCTGGTCCCCCCCAACTGCCCTCCCCTGCCAGCCTGGTTGCAGCTAACTGCCCTCCCTTGCTGGCCTGGTCACCCCTAACTGCCTTCCCCTACAGGCCTGGTTGTCACTAACTGCCCTCCCCTGCCAGCCCGGTTGCCCCCAACTTCCCTCCCTTGCTGGCCCAGTCACTTCTAACTGCCCTCCCCTGCCAACCAGGTCGCCCCCAACTGCCCTCCCCTGCCAGCCATCTTCTGGTGGCCATCTTGTGCGAAAGCATGATGGTCAATTTGCATATTACCTCTTTATTATATATGGTTTGAAAATATTTTTTCCATTCTGTAGGTTGCCTTTTCATTTTGTTATCTTTTAAATATTTTTATTGATTTCAGAGAGGAAATGAGAGGGAGAGAGTTAGAAACATCAATGATGAGAGAGAATCATTGACTGGCTGCCTCCTGCACACACCCTACTGGGGAAAGAGCCCACAACCCAGGCATGTGCCCTGACCGGGAATCAAACCCTGACCTCCTTGTTCATAGGTTGATGCTCAACCACTGAGCAACACTGGTGAAGCTTTTCATTTTGTTGATAGTTTTTTTTTCTCCTTTTTTGCTGTACAGAAGCTTTTTAGTTTGAAGAAGTCCCACTTATTTATTTTTGCTTTTGTTGTTTGTGCTTTGGGTGTCATATAAAAAAATCATTGTCAAGGAACTCTTTCCCTGTGTTTTCTTCTAAGAGTTTTGTGGTTTCAGGTCTTATATTTAAGTCTTTAATTCATTTCAAGTTAATTATTTATAAGTAATACAAGATATGGGGTTCAGTTTCATTCTTTTGCATATGAATACCCAGTTTTCCCAACATCATTTACTGAAAAACCTCTTTTCTCTATTTTGTATTCTTTGCTCCCTTGACCAGTATTACTTGATTGTATATACATGGGCTTATTTCTGGGCTCCCTATTTTATTACATTGTTATATATGACTATTTTTATGCCAGTACCATACTGTTTTGATTACTATAGCTTCGTAGTATAATTTGAAGCCAGGATGTGTGAGCCCTTTAACTTTACTCTTTCTCAAGATTGCTTTGGCAATTCAGGATCTTTTGTGGTTCCATAAAAATTTTAGGATTTGTTTTCTATTTCTGTATAAAGTGCCATTGGATATTTGATAGGGATGTTAAAGTAAAAAAAAAAAGATATCAGTTGAACCTGATTTTCCCCCTTCTCTCTTTTTATGATGAAAAAATGGTTTATCAAAAGGGAACTTTTACATACAATAGTGAGGCAGAGGAAATTGAGGTTAGGACATGGTAACTCCTAATGATGTGACTGAGAATATGTCAGTGGGAAAAATTTGAAACCAAAAGGGTTCTATAGTGGTTCTCCTGTTGGTCAACTCTGCCTGAGGCCACACTTCCAAAAGGAAAAGGAATCACAGAAATAAAAGTATCAGAAGGAGTCTTGAGATACCTATATGCCTTCAGGCAGATAAATATCTGAAATCATTCAGGATAGTTGGTATTTTTTTTAAAAAATTAGGGTTTGAAACTTTATAAATTGACCTTATTTTGTTGGTTTGTCATTATACTACCAGATCCCTTCAAAGAATAGCCATTCCAATTTATGTGGAACCCAATGGCCAGTTCCAGGTTTCTTAATAGGAAGAAAAATATAAAGACTTGTATACCATACTTAATGTTCTAGAAGATGATTTGGGGTAATTCTATAAACTGTGGAAGTATTTAAGAATTTTTCATGAGCATCACTTTTCAAAATTTTTTATTTAAATTACTCTTCCAAAATTACAAATTGGTATGTTTTCATTACAACCATTAAAACAATACAAAGATCTATAAATAAAAAAGAATTAATCTCCTCCTTACCCTCTCTTTTCTCACTTCTGCCTCCTGGGGTAATCAAGGCTAATAACTTGGTATTTATTCTTTTTCATGTTTCTTCCTAAGCATCACTTTTTATGTTTATCATACAGGTGTTTGTTTCGTCTTCTTGTTCCAAAAGTTTCTGAAATGCCAGAATCTGAAAACAAGTAAGTTATTTCAACAGAAATGATGTATTCACCATTAGAATAATTATAGTAGTTTTCAATATAAACCTTATATTGAGAGAAGTATAGTACAGTGGGTAAGATCAATATAAGCTACTGGGGCCAGTCTTCCTGGCTTTATCTCCTGGCTCTGCCACTTATAGATGTATGACCTGAGCTTCTGTTTCCCCATATGTACAATGGGAATAATAATAGTACCTACTTTATGGGGTTGCTGTGATAACTGGATGGGTAAATACATGTAAAACACTTAGAAGAAGACTGCCAGGCACTTACTAAACCCTCAACAATGTTAGCTATGATTTCATTATGATATTGCATCTGTTTCCTTCTTTCTTTACAGGACACTTATATATAGTCATATCCCTTACTTTCCCACAGAAACATATAACCTGGTTGGCTTGTTGATTCTGATTCTGTATCAGCTCAGCTCAGTATTCACATATCTTTCTGCTCATAGTTTCTATGGCATAAGATATCAAAAACTTAACAGTTTGTGGAAGAATTGGGTCACCAATATTTTTCATTTACAAAATTCACTACCTCCTAATGATTTGAAAGAAAACTCTATTCAAGGCTTTGATTAGTGATATCTTTCAGAGAAATATTCCCATGTCTACATTCTATACTCATACAAAACTCTGCTTTTTGTGTATCTCTACTTCACTTTTTCTTTATATATTTGTACCTGGAGACAATATATTTTTTCAGCTAAATTGTTTGAGAAATATCTGTGACTGAGATAATATTGGATTGATGACAACTTTTTATCATAGTACAAATTTTACCCAAGCATATATAAGTTTTGCCTCTTTACTGGTACAGGCTCTATGAATCCATGAGTAGGGAACTCAAACCACAAAAAATATACTGAGATCATTGAAAATTTGATTATTGACCAAACACTTGATGATATTAAGAACTTATTAATTTTAAGGCATATAATGGTAGTGTGGTTATGTTTCTTAAAAGAATCCTTGTCTTTTTTAGACACATCCTAAAATATTTATGGATGAAATGATGTGATATCTGGAATTTGCTTCAGAATAATATGGTAGGGGAAGGAGTTGGTGGAGGGTATCATTGAATTGATTGATGATGAGTTCATAATTATTGAAGCTGAGTGATGGATACATGGGGATTCACTTACCTGTTAACATATAAACATCTTTGAAATGTTCTACAATAAAAGGTTAAATGAACAAAAGAAACAAACCAAACAAATAAAATAGAAACACTCATATATACAGAGAACAGACTGACAGCTGTTAGAAGGGTAGTGGGTTGGGGGGCTGGGTGAAAAAGGTGAAGGGATTAAAAAATCTCATAGACACAGACAACGGTATGGTGATTACCCAAGGGAAAGGGGCGTGAGGGGAGATAGAAGAGGGTATAGGCGGGGATAAATGGTGATGTAAGGAGACTTGACATGGGGTGGTGAACACACAGTACAATATACAGATGGTGTATTATAAAATGGTATACCTGAAACCTATACAATTTTATTAAACAATGTCACCCAAGTAAATTCAATAAAAATGTTGAAAAATAAAAAAGGAAACTGAGTAACTAAACTTTGATAGTTACTAGATTGTAAGAGCTCCTTGATTCTCTGAAACCTCAGATAGTATTTGACACATAATAGTCACTCGATTTATTTAAATGATTGAATAGCTGTTCTTTAAAAGAAGATTTTTATCACTAGACTTACAAGTGCTTCATAGCTCATGTAATTGTGACATAACAGTCAAACCACACTCATTAAAACCTACTTAGATTAAAGAATACTTTATACCCTTATTGTTTTCCTTTTTGTGTGTGTGTGTGTTAATCCTCACTGAGGATATTTTTTCCATTGATTTCTAGAGAGAGAGAAAGGGAAAGGGAGAGAGAGAGGGAAATATATATGTGAGAGAGACACATTGATTGGTTGCTTCCCGCACGCATCCCGATGGGCTAGGGATTGAACCTGCAAACTAGGTTTGTGCCCTTGACTGGGAATTGAACCTGAGACTGGCGCTCTAAACACTGAGAACACAGTTCAGGGCTACACTTATTGTTTTCAAGTAAATATAGTAATAAAGAACATTTGCTAGCAGTGTTTTCAGGTAGAGATCAGGACCTGATTTAACAAATTGATTGGACTAATTTTTTTCAAAAGCCTAATTCAGTGGCAAGAGACAGAATGGAATTCTAGTTTCAACTATTTCACTAACTTCTGGTTGACCTTAGGCAATAACAACTTATTTAACTTTTCTACGCTTTATTTTCTTCACCTGTTAAATTAAACTAGACTGGATAATTACTAAAGTTCCTTTCTCATCTAACAATCCTATGGTTTTTTAATTAGCAGTATCTACCTAAGTATTAATAAATTTGTGTGCTAAAATTATAAAAGCACTTTGTCTCTTAAATAAACCATATATCCCCTTTTCACATCCTCATCATTTGTATCATTTGTTTTCATTAATGGACAGTTCCTAGATTATTTTATATAGTCACTGAATTAAATAGGGAAGAAGGTAACTTTAGCTCAGCTTAAATTCAAATTAATAAAATTTACTGTAAGAAGTTACTTTATATAAACTAGAATTCTGATATCCCTGAGAAAGCTGCTACTTTTCTCGAAGCACAGTATTTATGATATAATACTAGACCTTCTCCTGATATAGCCAGTCTGATAATATGCTCTACCCTATTCCTATAACCTTCCTTACTTGAGTTTGCCAATACTTTCATATTCATTCCTATGTTTAAGTAAAACAGAATGATTTCCTCTATTAAAATGTGTATATCCCTTAAAGAAGCTTGACAAAGGGTCAAGAGACATGGGTAGTAGTCTTGACATTGTCATTATTTTTATGACCTTGGACACATCATCCCCCCATTTCCAGATCTGTTTTCTCTGAACAGGATAAGTGTTTTTTAAATTATATTCCTCAGAACCCTGGAAATTCTGTGGCACTGACTCAGGGACTTTCAGGAAGGTGAGGCTCTAAGCCCCCATCAACCACTGGTTCAACCAGAGGAGCTACACTTTTATCTTTTCTTGTATATTAGACTTCTATAAAATTTTATTCGAAACAAGGGTTTTAATTTCTCCTCTTCAAACAAAAAACAACCTTGAAAATCAGAGAGATCACTACCTACTCTCAAATTCTATGGCCCTGTAATATAAAAACCTTATCAGTCATTGAAATCCTTTGTTGAGTGTAGGTGTAAAAGAGGAAGAGAGAAAAATATGAGTGCACTAGGGATGAGGAACAGGATCCTATAGTGGGGGAAAATAGTGTTGAAATGACATGTTGGAGCCTTGAACAACAAACTTCCCAATTTTGCAGTTTTGCACAGCTCTCAGGCACAAATAGGGTCTCGTTGTGTTACTTTTCTATAGTAGGAAAATATTCTTTTCTTTATTTTTTAGAAAGAAAGAAATGGATAGACTTTTGACTTGCTTGAATACAGGTAAATATCTCCTTGGTCATTTTCAGGCCTTCTTGCCCTTATCCTCTATTAAATTTTCCAATTACCTTGAGCACACTGACTAAAACTTCATGTCTGAGTTAACATTTGCTTTTGTTAACATTTGTCACAGCAATCTACCTTGGATTCTTTATTCACAAGCAGAGAGAAGTTTGTCATCCCTAGCTTCCATATGCAAATGTGATTTCAGCTCTGTTTCTATCCCAATTTGTTTTAAAAACATTTCCTTCCTTCTCTCCCTTCCTCCCTCTCTTTCCCTCCTTCTCTCCCTCCCTCCCTCCCTTCCTGAATTGAAAAGGTGAAGAGGGATCAAGACAAATAATGTTCTGAACCCTGCTTGTTTTCATGTCCTCTGAATCAAATTCCGATTGTTTACTGTTATTTTGAAGCTATCCATCTATCTACTAATAATTCCTCTCTGTTCCCTTCATTCAAGCTATCCCAACTTCATGCTTTCTTACGTGGTATCTCCCTTTGGCCTAACAGGTCTTCCCATGTCTACTGTTCACATACCTATTTCCTTATATCCAAAACACACCAAAAGCTCCACATCTTAGAAATTCTATTCTATTTATTGCAGTAGCTCAATGTTATACTTCAAATACCTGACAACAGGTGTTAAATATAGCAAAGTGGTTTAGAAACCAAAGCTTTTCAAAAAAGAATAACTTTTCTGGTTGGCAACCTTTTCACTCAGAAGGGCATGTGTGTATGTAGTAAATGCTTTCTGGTGACATCATGTTCTGGGTCTGAAATGTGCTTGCTGTGGGAGCTCAATAAATATTATGCCAGCCTATCAATACTCTTCCAGTTCTCAATCTCCATTGCAGTATTTTTAATGATTGTTCTGACTCTTTATTTCCTTACATGTAAATCATATATTTCTACCTCAGGTTGTGAATGATTGCATTAATTTAATTTATAAATCTCTCCAAAGACATGTTTGTTCCTCAAAGTTTGAGTTAACAGCTTGCTTCTTGGAGCTTGGTAATGCTTTTCATCATTTTAATTACTTTTGATATGCACCCATGTGCACACACACACACGCACACACACACACACACACACACACACACACACACAACTTTTGTAAATGCAAACTCTTATTCATCTGTTTTTAAAACTGGATTGACAACTTTGCTAGAGTAAAAGACCTTAATTAATATCAAATTTGCCTATTTGATGCAGCCCTCCTGAAATTTCCTCAATTTTTTGTTGGAGAAGACTCGACTTCAGACTCAAGGATTAATGAAGCTCACTGGTTTAGGAAAATAGGTAAAAGAAAATTCTGTGACTATGGGAAATATTATGGAGTGGTAGAATCAACAGATGTAGATTCAAATTTTAGCTCTTTCATTTGTATCTATGGGTACAAGGATAACTTGCTTTATCTCAGGTTAATTATTTATAAAATGAGAACAATTATATATACTTCATAAGATAATTAAGGGTTGTAAATGAAAGTATATGTACCTGGAACATAGTAGGTACTTAATAAATATTAGTTTTCTTCCTTTTCTATAGAAATGGCTCTAAAAATAAAATGGTGAATTGTAACTGCAGATCCCCAAGGTTATGCTCCTAAACTTGGTCTAGAATGCCCAATTATTCTCTAAATATGATTCATCAAAGTAAACCATATTCAACAATATAGATGAATCTTACAAACATAATGTTGAGCAAAAGAAGCCAGATATTGAGTACATATTGCAGAGGTCCTCAAACTACGGCCCGCGGGCCACATGCAAATACAAATATTGTATTTGTTCCCATTTTGTTTTTTTACTTCAAAATAAGATATGTGCAGTGTGCACAGGAATTTGTTCATAGTTTTTTTTTAAAACTATAGTCTGGCCCTCCAACGGTCTGAGGGACAGTGAACTGGCCCCCTGTTTAAAAAGTTTGAGGACCCCTGACATATTGTATGATTCCATTTATATATGATAAAAAAATGACAACAGGCAAAACTAATTTATGGTGTTAGAACTCAGGATAGTGGTTATCCTTGAGGGGGTTGGACTTTGAAGAGGGTTGGTGGCTTGGCTTCCGGTAATGATCCAGATCGTTCTTTATCTCTATTAGTTACATGAATATATATTTGCTTTGTGAATATTCATCAAGCTGTACAATTATGAATGTTGTGGAAGCAGTTACTACAGTGATAAATAAACAAGAGCAATTAAGCAGCAATATCACAAAGTGGACTGATTCTACATGGTCCTTTTTCTGCTTATGGCATTTGCTGGGGCTCTAATCTAGGAGAAAAGGGAATAAATACAGCAGTCTAGTTTCTAAGAAACGTATGCAAATAATGGAAAATAAACATTTAAATTATAGGAAGGTTTAATGACTTTTATTTTTTGAAAGTTTGAAAAGTTACTTTCCAATACTTCATTTACTGAATTTTAATTTTGACATTCCAAGGTAAAGATCATGCTGAATGTTACCTAATGGGGGCTTCCACTGCTCTATGGAAGATACAAATCTTTCCAGCATTTCAACCCTTGATTCTAATGTACCATGTCCTTTGCTAAATTTTAAATTATTTTCACCAATGCCAATTGGCGAGCTCATTGGTAATCCTCATTTTTTAGGTGGATTTGTGCTAAGAATTTATTGTATATATCCTAGTATTTTGGATTTTTTTAAATTAGCTCTACCTCAATTGGTCATTGGCCTAGAATTGAAGTCTCTAAATTTACCTGGAAAAAACTTATCTAAAAACTAAAGTTAGCTTTTTTAACCCTGAGAAACCTCTCATTAGTATATTAATATTAAAATGTAGGTATGTATGTGTGTGTGTGTGTATATATATATATATATATATATATAT